GTCACAAAAAGAGGTTGACTTTTCAATGACGCCTTTCAGTTTTTTCTCCATTGAAAGATTTTCTAAAACACTAAAGTGCTGAAAGCTGCTTTTACCCACAGGCAGAAAAGGCTTTGGTATTCAAACTGTGAATCTCAGCGGGTACATTTACATTCCCTGATAGATTTTCTGCAGTCTTGTTTGATAAACACTTTAATCCACTCCTTGGTTTGTGCACTTTGAATTAGTTTTACTTTCATCTAAAATGCTTTTCTCTTTGCTTGTGATTTCATGTTTTATACAAGGTGCATTTACTGTCTCTTGCAAGAATGTTCAAAACCCATAATTCAAATTATGTCACACTGCAGTCAAAAAATTATTTTTTGTATTGAGGTGTAATATGATAGATCAGCACCACGTGGCTCATAATTATGTTATTAAGGAAATAAAAAACAAAAAAACATTGATTTACTTCATTTTTTTTTTTTCCTTTTTCAAAAAAAGTTAGGTAGACTTTCATTGAGTATATTGGCTCATTGGCTCTTTGGAGCCGCAAAAATGTAAAAGTATTCTATAAGCCTCGTTTGGCAACACAGGCTTTAAGTGTATTATCCCACTATAGAAAATTATTATCTGGGCTTAAATATATAATAAGCATTCATGATTAAATGCTTATCCTGGAGAAAATGTTGCATAGCAGCATGAGGTGATGGAGGAGCAGTGAACACTCACTGCATTAAATTCACAGTTTAAGTTCTGTTGCACTGATGAAATTATAGAAACAGGATAAAGGAATCTTTCTATGGTGGACGTGTTTCTGTTGGGAGGAGCTGATTGAGTCATGAGGAACCAAGCAGGAACTGACATCCATAAGAGCAGAGCTATCTAACCCTGAAATCCCACATCCTCCATCACCATCATTCCTTGGTGTGATTTATATTTTTAGGATTTGTGGAAAAACTGAAGAAAAGTTCCCATCCCTGCATCAGAGCGCTACCTGTTTGATCTGTGGATGGTTTTCGATCCTTGCAACAAAACTAGCAGCAGTAGTAGAGTTTGGAGATGCAATCCACTTCTTAAATCTATCTTTGTTCTCCTCTAACTTATCCTGATGTTCTGCAATCGCACTTCTTCTCTCACTCCCAACTTGCTTATCAGCTGCATATTTAGCTTGCC